TGTAAAGTACATGAAGCATTTCCAAAAATAAATATTCACCTATGCTATACCAAAACAGTAGTTAATTGCACTTCATATTAAATCTCCAAATATTAGCATTGTGCTAATGAAGGATATAAAAAAATGCTTTTCTCTTTTACATACTTTTATTTATATAAATTTCATACATAATTTTCCTTTGTATGGTAAGCCTGAAAACATTGAAATTGGCACAATGCCACTTGACAGGTCCTGGTTTCCTTTCTTACACCCCTAGCGTACCATAACTTGACCTGCGGTACTTTCCACCAGGTGCAGGTTTCTGTGCATGACTTTATGTCCTCCCTGGAGAGAGCCCTCTCCCAAGTTTGGCTCACGGATGGTTCCTTCCACCCTTGTGGACTAGTGGAATTCCTGTAGGAGCTCACAAATAAGCCCCTTTCTAAAGGCCTGCAGAGTCAAATTCCCTCCTAGTACTTTGTGCACCTAGGAATTGACAACTGTCATCTCAATATGTTTATAAAGGACCTTAGTGGTGGACTTGATGAACTTGCGAGAGGTCGGGTATGATTCAACCAGTCATCTCCATCCCCTTCATCATTATAGTCAAACACCACAAAGGGTTTGACCCTCCAGTAACCATGTCCATCTGAGATTGTAACCATCTCCCTATTGTGGACAGTCAACATCACTGTGACGGGCCTCTTGTCGTACCCTTGAGGGCACATGCCTGTCTTTATGCTGCGATAGCCCACATCACCACGAGTCTTTACATGCAGGTTTTTTGACATGTACTTGCAGTTGACATGAACTGTGCCAACAGCATCAACACCCCGACCCTTCTGGTAGTGGAAAAGACAGGGAGATGTACCAGTTATCAGGATGCACCTCATACCCCTTTCCAAATAGACCCGTGCCACCCATCAAGCCTATGACAACCTTCGAGGATGCAGGAATTTCCCCTTTGTCCTGGCCCATATATATCCTGGGAGCACTGACATAGTCTGCACTTGGCCCTGGAAAAAAGAAAGAATTAGAAATTGCTCACAATGCAACCTTTGAACTAACAGATATTTGCAGTAAAGGTACCATGTGACTCTCAAGACACTTTACCTTGACTGATCACAAGCTTGTAGATTTTCACCCTAAAGCACAGGCTTGTCAGCGCTCCCTGGAACTTTCACAGACTCATCGATCAACATCCTCTAGGCAGGAGTGTAGATTGATGTAAACTGACGAGACAACAAGTTGATCACTAGCCAAAGCTTCTAAAGGCGGTCAGTGATGGGTCCTACCCTATCATCAGCCACCATGTGTATCTCGTCGATGAAGATACCCAAGCTGAAGAACAATGATGACCAACACCTGTGGCCAAAAGCCAACACATCCTCACTATCAACAGATTGTTCTGCCTGAAAAGTAAGATACCATAAAACTGATGCCCTGTATTTGAGGCACATATAACAATATTCAGAAAGAATACACCTAGAGACAAAATGAATTTAAAGGTAACTTACCCAGGAAGAAGGCTGAGGATCATTTGGGTCATCGTCTTGAGGAGCGACAGAGGAGAGAGGGCCTTGTTTACGAAAACTGAAAGTAAGTTTCATCTCCAGGAATTGCTGGAGACAAGTGCTTGCATTGTGACCATATACACACCCTTTTACACAAATTTTTCGCGGTTCCACAATTCCTGCTATTTATCACAGCCAATCAGAACAACTCTAATTACTTCAGAAACATCTGGCCATGCAAATCCTGTTGCAAATATAAAAAGCTCTATTCTTACTCCAGCACGAATTTTCATACTGCAAATATAATTCCAGAACGAATTCTCCTGTTGCAAATATAAAAAGCTCTCTTCCCTACTTCCTCACAGTCTTCCTACTCCAGCACAAATTCTCATATTGCAAATAAAAAAATCTCTTTCCTACTTTCTCCCTCTCTTCCTGGTCTTCTCTCTCTAATGGAAAAATTTATTTCCTAGAGTGCTAAAAGGAAATCTCATACTGCAAATATGTTAACTGTTGACGATATGTAACCACCGCCCATACCATACCAACAATTTACAAAGACAGGACGATCACATCATCCACTCTTCGGTCAAACTTTTTCATGATGAGATGGTGGCATCACCCACCCCTCAACCAAATTTTCTTCATGAGACGGGATGGTCACTTTCTATCTTCAGCAGCATCCAGACACCACATAAAAGGCAGTCAAATTTTTTCATGACATGATGCTGGCATCACCAACCCCTCAACCAAATTTTCTTCATGATGGGATGGTCACTTTCTATCCTCAGCAGCATCCAGACACCACATAAAAGGCAGAAGATAGGTAGCCACTTTATTATACCTTCAAACTCTATCAATCACATAGTGGCAAAATATTTAATTCATACCTCAAACCGGAAAGTTTCCTCATACACTGGGTCTTGGGTCTTTTTCTTCACAGTCGTCTGACAAGAGTTCTTGCTGTCAGGAAGGAGCGATATCTGCAAAAATAAATTCAAAGGAAT